CATTTGCGTATGTACATGTTTCTAATTCGCATTTGTCTCCACCAAAGCATTTAAATTTCAACAAGTGATCCTAGCACCCTTAACAGTGATCTTCCAATTGTTATCTCCTATCTCTTTCTTTTTTGGGAAATATTAAATGAGTTGCAACGAGTTCTGGGATTATGAATCTGCTAAATAAATTTAATATCACCACGCGGCACGCGACTCATGTAAGACCAATTTAGGAGGAACAAAAAGGAAGAGAATAAAAGGCTTTAATCATGAAAGAAAAGTTGAGGACAATGGCAATTTATATGGTACCATTCTTGGTACATTTGTATAATTAATACAATCTAAATAGTGGATTGTTAAGTGAAACTTGATTTTACTTCGCGTAACTTATACAATAGACTAAAATATCCATGAATCTTAAACTCTCCCAAATTCTTTTACACGATCATCTTTTTAGAACTTCTCACAAGTTCTTGCATTATATTGTCAAAAAATCATTGATTCTTGATGGTTCGCAATGGCAGAAAATCAAATAACACGAAAAAATAAGATAAAATAAGATATTGGCTTATCAACAGGTAATTTTTTTGCAAAGTTCACTTTCTTATTAGTGTGATCACCATTGTCATTTTCTGACGTTTTTTTTACAAAGAGAAATAATTTGCACAGAATTTTATGGCTTTGGCATGATTACTGATTGGTGATCGTGCTTTTTTTTTGCTGATTAGTGATCGTACTTTTTTTTTATGTCATTTATGTGTCTTGATTTTGTTTCCTGTAGCTTGATTTTACTTTGTGCAGTTTGATTTTATTTCGTGTATCTTTATTTTATTTTGTGCAACTTAATTTTACTTTGTGCAGCTTCATAGGGGTATTTTAGTCTATTTAATAAGCCGCGCAAAGTAAATTCAAGTTGCGTTTAGCAACGCCCATCTAAATATGGAATAAAAATTAATTAAAATATTATTAAATTACTCCATTCTCTCTCAATATTTAATTTCACATGACATCACGTTTCCAAATTTACAAAAGAATCAATATTCCCATAATTTTTTTCAACTTACCTTTTATTCATAATTACTAACGAAAAATTAAGAATAATTTAAATTTACTAAAAGATAATGAAACTTTGATAAATATCATGAAAAATATTATTCTAATTCATAAATTTCTTATAGAATGAGTATGAATATATATATATATATATATATGAATTCCGAAAATAAAGATGATATTTTCATTTTTTGTATAAAATATTACATAATTCTAATGAACATAATTGTATATGAGTATAAATATAGTGTTTGGTCTTTTTGTTTGTAAATAATCATCCAATTGCTATAAAAATTTGTGAAACTTTGACACACGGGATATGAAAATTATGATCGTCGTCATGAATATTTCATAAAAAGAATATAAACATTTATACTCTATATGATTAATTTATTAATAGTTCTCTAATTTATATGAATATTTCGTATAATTTTCATGAATAGTCGCAATTATGGGCATTAATATGAAATTAAACCGCACACAACTTTATATGTAATTAATATTTACAATTTTTAAAATCAAAAGCTATAAAATTTATGTGGCATTGATATGAAAAATATGATTATCACTTATGAATTTTACATTACATGATCATGAACCTTTGGTTTTATATAAAGATCATCATATTAATTTTTTTTTTATCCGTTTGAATTTTTCACGTAATTATATTTAGACTTTTAAATAAGACACGAGATTAAATAAAGATAGAGAATTGACTCATTTAAATATATTTTAATTAATATTTATTCCTTAAATAGATTCATTAAATATATCAGTGCACTATGTATAGTGGACACGGTGCACCATATAAGAATTGGAGGACAATAACTCATGACCTCCTACGTTAATTGTATCATTAGATTAATTATAATGATTGTAGAACTGTACAATAATCGAATCATAAGCTGGTGAAATAAAGATTAGCTATTTATTTATTTTGAGTAGGAGAGGACTCAAAATTGCTTTATTTTCTTTTCAGAAAAAAAAAATTGAATAGATTGTATGTGTATAGGTTCGTTGAATATAAAAATATTCCAACTTTAAATTAAACCAATCAAATAAAGACCTTTTATGACAATTGTATGTACCTCTCTATATCTGAATAAATACCATCGCAGGGCACCTTAGTAATTTACCCCAAAACAATTATTATGAGCTTAGTCTTAAATGAAGAGTTGATATATTTTGTATTATTTGTTAATCTACCTCAAAATGATTCTCTAGTTTAGAATTTATTTTTTAATAAAATTTTATATTAAAAATAAAAATTTCACAAATTAATCATTCTGGAATAAAGTAGCCACTAAATGTAACTCAACCACTGCATATAGTAATCAACATGAAAGCGAATAATTTGTCTTGGCAGCCTAATGATCAAGGTTAGGCGCCGATAACAAAAACTATGGAGTTTTCCTTTTCATAAATGAATTGTGGTATCCATATGCATCTCGTTAACTTATCAGTAATTTGGATTTATTGGAATGAAGCCGTTATGTTTTCTATGTTCATTCACATTTGTCTCGACTAAAGCAGATTATTTATTTTTTTTTAAAAAAATGAAAATGATCTTAATTAGCCAAGACATTTAGTTTGTCATCGTAGTAATTAGTTTTCTTGGTTTTTATCGGCTAAACTACTTTAAAAAAATGCTTGCCTCATTATCGATCTATGTATTACTATATTATTGTGTCACTAATTTCATTATTAAATTGATAGCAGTTCATAAATATGTCCAAAAATCACACCTAGTATATCAAAGGGTTGTTCTCATTCATTTGGAACTTATGAGTAATTTAATTTATATTTAATGTCGATCACGGAGCGTCAAAACTACTGAAGATATGCTGACACTACTAGGGACATATTGATAGACGATAGTTACTACTTGTTCGTTTTTTTATAATTTTTTTTAATTAAGATGCTTAACCTTTAACGACTCCTTTTTATTTCACATTTCAACTCAGCCTCTAGTCAGTTAGACGATGGAATATTGGGATTTGGGAGATACATATATACTACCTCCGTCCCTAAAAAATAGTCCACATTAAGTTTTCATTTTTGTACTGTTTTTACTACAAATTTCAAAACTCAAAGTGGACTATCTTTTTTGGGACAGAGGGAGTAATATAATATGACAAATAGAAATTGTCTTAGAATCATGAAAATAAGTGTACTGTACCCTCTGTCCTGAAAAAAAAAATAGTTCAAGTTTGAAAATAAATTTAATTAATTAGCCAAAATAATGATTGTTCCCCATTCCTCCTCCCCCCTTCTCTTTGAGGTTAGTAGCAATGGATCTCGATGGCTTTATATAGAGCGATGAAAATCTATTAATACCTTAAAAAAGATAAAATAACGATACAGGAATGTCCCCCATCTTGATGTAAGCTAAAACAATAAATCAATAATATCTAATCAAACAAACTTAAAAAATGACCGGTCTTATTTTTCTGAAAAATAAATCAACGTCTATGTCGGCTTTGTGTGCAAAATGTAACGAATAATTTTATTACCTTATATTATCTCTACACACAATCGAAATGGCGTCCACCCATTTTGAAACATTGTGCCCTTTCCTATCCCCTAAAAAGAATTACAATAATACAACTGTCTTTATCGGGTGAATATATAAAAAATAAACACCAATTATTTTGAATAAATAATGTTGAATATATGGATCGGTCATTTTCTTAGAGATGAAGACGTTATCAACTCTTTAATATTCTCTTCAAATTATACGTGTGTTTTGATCCTCATTTTAATTTATCTATAAATGCATAGGGAGCTAGTGATATCATGATATGGAAACGGGTTTGGCAATAATTCTGATGGATGATTTCTTCACTAGACTGCTATTTTAGATGTTGGACAAGTTTATTAGTTACACGATGTACAGGTCTCATTGATTGGTTGTTTGGTAGTATTTAATAAATTAGTCTGCGTATTACGTCAAGGCAGAAAAAAATGGACATGTGTATGAATAATCGATCAAATAACAAAATGAGTCTATTCTCGCATTTATAATAATAATATTGTAAATTTTTATTTAGAAAAAAAACATATATAGTAGACGTTCATATCAACTAGTGGAATGCAATTGCAAGTTTCATCACAAATCACGTTGATTTCAAAGTTCTTTAGTTTTTACAATCACGTGGTTAATTACTTAGGTAATTTTGAAATTTAACAACTGTTAAATTTCAAATTTAACAGTTGTTAAATTTCAAAATTACCTAAGTTAAAGCTTGGAGAGAGTCTTTTGGCCGCATATAAATTTAGTGAAAAAGATGGATTGTATAATTTGAATCACTATATTCCACAATTGGGTTATGGGAGTCAAGTTCACGTTTTGCTATGATGGGGGTATGTGTTAATCTTCCAAAATAGGAAAGGGGAATTAATGTAACGGTTCAGTAAGAGAGTTTGGATTTCCACAAATGGTGGCCGCGTGAATTATGTGTTACCATCATACTTTTGATATAACTGAAAATTCATCATATAATAATAATAGAATTTTAATCGAATAAATGACTAAACACATGTATATGTTCCAAATTCAAACCACTTTCTTCATACATACCACGAGGATTCAGCACCAAAAAAAAAGAAAAAAAGAAAAGAAGAATGAATATACGAATTCGACTTTCACGGATTTTCGTATTGATACCAGTTATCTCTCATTTGCCGCAACGGTTTTGATACTTTATTTTTTCTTGTTAAACTATTTGTTTTGTTATGTTTTGTTTGGGTTTGAAGCCAACTTAAAGAAGAGAAAAAAAATCCAAAAGAGTAGTCATAAATCTCAGATACTTCCAACTGAGAAACGAGAAACATGAATCATCACAATACTGTCTCTCATTTTTCTTGATGCTATCACCCTTAAAAAACGTATCCGTTACTAAACTCTTACAGCATTATAAACAATTTCACAATCCTCATCATGTTACTCCACAATCACATCAATGGCTTCCAAATTCGCTTTCACTCTCCTAATCATCTTCTTCATTTCTCAAATTTACCTTTGTTTTGTGCCGAAAACCGCCGGAGCATTGTTAGCACAAGCTCCTCCTACTAATGCACTTGTCTTGCCAGTTCTAAAAGATGGTACCACCAGCCTTCACATAGTCAACATCCTCAAGGGAACTCCTTTGAAGTCAATCCCTTATGTTGTTGACCTAAATGGCAAATTCCTATCATTTAGCTGTGAGCAAGGCTACTCATCTTCAACCTACAATGCTCCTATTTGCCAATCCACTCAGTGTTCACTTTTCGGAACTCATTTTTGCAAGAAGTGCTCTTCATTCCTAACAAAATCCGGTTGCCGTAACAACACCTGTGCTGTTATAGCAACCAATCCCTTGACGCGACAAAACGTGGTTGGTGAAATCGCTCAAGATGTTGTGGCCTTCCAAACCCTAGAAAATGGTTCCAATAATCCAAGATCTCTCGCGGTTCTTCGCCACTTGATGTTCGCGTGCGTACCATCATCCTTCTTCCAAGGGCCATTGCCAAATAATGTACAAGGTTTAGCTGGATTTAACCAGGATCAAACCTCTCTACCAAGGCAACTCTCATCCAAGTTCGGTTTGCACCCTAAATTTGCTCTCTGTCTTTCATCCGAAAACAATGAAACTGGGGTCATCTTTTTTGGGAATGCCTCATACAGAATTGCCTCTAGAAATGATTTTTCTCAAGCTTTACAATATACTCCATTGTCTATCGGATCGCGTGGGGAATATTTTGTCACAATAAAATCTATCATGATAAATCATAAACCAGTCCAGTTCAACACAGCTTTGCTTTCAAGGACAATGATCAGCACTATAAATCCTTACACAACTCTTGAACACTCCATTTTCCAAAGCGTTACACAAGTTTTCGCCAAGGAATTCTCTGCCATCGGCGCGTCTCAGACAAATGCAGTGTCGCCATTTGGAGCATGCTTCAACAAGTTACCTCGTCATGTGACAAAGGATGGAATATTGGGGGCTCCCATTATTGATTTTGTGATGCAAAATGAAAACGTAACTTGGAGCATCAATGGTTCCAACTCCTTGTTCCAAGCACGCCCTGGAATATGGTGTTTAGCCTTTGTTGATGGAGGATTCAATCCTAGGGCTTCGATTGTGTTGGGTGCATTTCAGCTGGAGGATCACATAGTTGAATTTGATTTGAGCAGGTCACTTTTGGGTTTTACTCAGACCGTACTGTCAAAAGACGACAGTAAATGTTCTCAATTTAACTTCAACTCTACAATATAATGTAAAAAGAGAACATTGTTGATCCTTGTTCACCTAAATATATGATTCTTATCTCTATGGTTTTCGGTTTTTTTTTTTTTTTTTCCATCTATCTTTGAATGAAGTAAAAATACCCATGTTTCTGTTATCCAAGAAATTAACATAGTAACATGATTCCGGATCTTAATAAAATATAAATCAGCTATAGTCACGGTCAATAGTTTATTAGTCTGAAAAGAGATTTAATAAGGTTCCTATGATCGTTTTCTCAAGATAAACTTAACAAGTGAAGCCGAATATTTGTATTGTGCTTGTGTGAAACATCGAAACAAAAGTCAGGTTTTATATTTCATTTACTACAAAAGTATATTTTAAAAATCAAATTTAAATTGTTGTGACATAAAATTGATCTGGCCCAGTATATGTGTGTTTAAATAAATTTTAATCGGAGAAAAAGTGCATAAATCACGTGATTAGGATAAATGAGAATTGGCACATGCCCCCGGCGGCCTAAAAGTCTTTGGTCTTTAATTAAATTATCGCAAGATCAATAAGTAGCTTTCAAATGGATCCAAAGACTTTTGAGTTAGGATGATCCCACTTGACTGAGTTCAAAAGGGCAACTGCTCGTATTAAATTTGGACAACTTTCTGGTTTTTATATATATATATATATATATATATATATATATATATGTAGGAAGTGACAAGAATCTTATCGAGCTTGATTAAGACATCCCAATTAATTAATCATGTTGAACTGATTTCTGTTGATGTCGTCTTTGAGCACTTGATAATTGATCTTCTTTCTAAATAAATTCATTTTTCAGTTAAAATTCAAGTAACCATAATAAAAATTTATAACCCACTTTTTAATGGAATATTTTTTAGATCACTTTCATATCGATGATCAACTAATTCAAGTCGAGTAACAGATTCCTTTTTTTCCCCCAATTATCAATAATTAAAAAAAATTAAGTTGAGGAACATACGAGGTGTAATTTTCACCAAAAGTAGAGGAATGGTAATAATCATTATTAATAGTGTGACAGGAGAGTAAGTAAAAAACAACTAAAGATTTAGTGCGAAGAAATAACAGTTACACTGTCACTGATTTGATGTGAAGTCGTGTAGGTTGATCACACGATATATTCCTGATGATAAAGACAGTTTTAAGGGATTAAGATTAACGTTAATGACGTGGAGATTAAGGTTGATTCACAGTGGAATCACTGTCCAAAGGACAGCCCCAAAAGGCGCTAGATCACTGTTAAAAGTTGATAATGATGATTTGTCCTTGATTTAAGGAAGCTTTGGACTTGTACACATTTGAATCAACTTTAGAGAGGGAAAACTTAACACAATCTAATCTAAGCTCATAGTTTTGACGGCGCTAAGGTTTTTGTTGAAATAAAAACACGGTAGTTTGATCCGACGATATTCTAGCTAGGTCTTAGGGATTAAACTAATTAGAATTACTAAGACTTAGGAACTTCTATGTGGATATTTAAGTGACGGAACGAGAACTTTCAAATCGCGAGATCAAAAATAAGATTATTTAACTATCACTGAGAGACCGAACTGAAAAAATTTCAACTAACAAATATCCTATTACGGAAAAATCCAGCCGTCCAGGGGTCGATCAACCACCCCGACCCCCTCAGTTCCGTCACATATCTTTTGATAAATATCACCATAACGAATTTTGATAGCTTGTTAACATCTGTTTTTTGGTATTGAGTAGACTTAAAACAAGATTCGATGATCTAAACAAAAAAATTAGCAGGTTCATAATTCTTCTGGCATGTACCAAAAAGACGGCCCAAATTTAGGCCTCCAAAAACGGGGCAATCTCCAAGCTTTTTAACCTCCATTTTTTTAACCCCAGAAAAGATAAAAGAACATTACGTCCGGGAAATGGGACTAGAAAGCCCACGTAAAGGCCCAATGAAATATGTGGTAGATAGCGGCTGGTGGCATCTTGCTGATTCCGAAATGTAATTTTTCATTTAGCCCGACGATTATGTTCATTTGTAAGGTAAGTTGTGACCATAAACGGTAGTGTATTCTAGAGGCTGAATTTTGGGTTGCCTTTTATGGCCTGAAAATTAGCTTGGAAGTTGGGCGTTAAGAAGTTTCAACTGGAACTTAACTCGGTAACGTTTTTGTTGAAAGATGATTTGGCAGTTGTAAATAGTAATGTATTTTTGAGAATTAAAAATTTCCTTGCTCTTAATTGGCAAGTTTCAGTGAGACATACCCGACGACCCAATAATGTCGCAACTGATGCATTACCGATAGCTTTTCTATTTCACATGTGTTGCACATTTTGTCGAATCCTCCGCCTAAGATCACGGAGCTTCTTGTATTAGATAAGATTACTTCATACCATCCATAGTAGGGATGTTTAATATTAAGTTTCGGCTTCATTTGTATTGAAAAAAAAAAACAGTAAAGTTGTCACCATCAACTATGAAGCTGACTCGTGAACATGACCTTCAACCTTAGAGAATATATGAAGGAATTAACTCCGGTGATGAACCCGAGATCTGGCTTTTCAGCAGATAAAATTTTTTGGTTTCATATGATCATAGCTAGAATTTGAATTGTAATTGGGTTCATTTTGTACGTAGTTCTTTTGGTTTGATATTTCCTTCCTTCTGAATTATGTTGTTCCAACCTAACCATATTAGTTTTGTTTAACATTTGACACAATGTTGAGAATATGTCTCCATTCATTTGTGGAGACAATGTGAGAAAGGCATAATATAATAGTTCAAATATAAGTTCTTGTAACTTTACTCTCTGTGATTGTACCTCTTCGTGGTTTTTTAGCGCAAGGAATTAAAGGATTATCACTTTTGAAAACGTTAACAACATATCTAATATATTGTATATCTTCTATTCCTAAAAAAACAATTCATATTGAGTATTGAGATTTATATTATTTTTAATACAGATTTAAAAGTTCAATGCAAGCTATCTTTTTTGGATAGAGGCAATGTGAATTTTGTTGGAGTATGGAGGTCAAGATGTGCCTATCTTCATTTCTATAGATTAATACGTACGGTTTGAGTAGGACTCAAAATGATTTTTTAAAAAAAGGGGTATACGGGAGAAAGAATTACGATGATGAAATTCATTGAAGGCGAAAAAACACATGTTTAATTGTGGAACTGAACGTAGACAAATGTGCATATGTATTGAGTAAAGTAGTCTTACATTATGGGAAAAGAAGAAATTATACGTTAAATGAAAACTTCAATGAAAGGGTATAAAATATACTCCCTCCGATCTTTAATATAAGACATTTAGATTTTGTCTTAGGTTTCACCTAATACGTATTTTTAATTAAAGAAAAAATCTTAAAAATATATTTTCATGTTGTATTCTCTTGATTGTTATGAAATATTTTTAAGAATTTTTTGTCAATTAAAATACGTACTAAGTTAAATATAAGACAAATTAAAATGTCATATTAAGGATCGGAGGAAATAGTGTACCGCTTGACTATTGAAATGCATTTAACTATTGCTGGTATCATGGCAACAGGAATGTGAGGAAAGGATCCGTAATAGTTCTCGCTTCTTCAAACAATACGTCACTTCGTTATCTCATAAGAGGTATGAGGAAGCATTCATGAGAAATGAGCTGCACATTACATAAAATGGAATAAAAATTAATAGGTTCTAAAAAGCCCATTTTCTCATGAATGAAAAGGTTTCAGCTTAGATGAATATCTTTTAGAATAAATTGAAATTAAGATCATGTTCATGTGTAACTTTTGTTATGTGTATCCTTCTTTTGAAATAATAGTACTCCCTCCGTTCTATAATTATTGTCCAGTTTTACTAAAATGAAAGATTTTATTTTTGGTCAAACCTAATTATATTTTATCTTAAACAACCGGATATACCCCTACATAAGTAATTGTTTAACCACTAAGATTTCATGGATAATGTTTTTTACTAAGGACAAATGTGTAACTTGATCCATAAAAAGTCAAATTGGGCAATAATTTTGGGACAAAATTTTTTGGACAAAGTGGACAATAATTATGGGACGGAGGGAGTATAACACAATGGATAATCATGTGTTTTGAATAGAAAAAGGAGTAATAATTCACATATTTAAACTGACGAATACAACGTACGACGTACCTCGCACATTAACCTATAAAAAGAGCATTAGTATTATAAAGTCATTATTGTGAATATTTAAATAGTTCTATCGAAGAACCAAGGTGCCTCCATTACTCTTCGATTACATGAACAAGATTGTCAAACGGGAGGATTAAAAGAACAGGAAAACGGAAAAGGAAAAAGATTAGGTCCAAGACTGAAAAAATCCCTCACCACTCCGTACCCAAAATGCTAAGTGAAACTTCTGACTAAGATTCTAAGAACTGGGGTAATTTCCAAAATGCTAAGTGAAACATCTGACTAAGAACTGAGCATAAAATTACCAAATGAATGACTAAAGAAGCAATTTCCAACAAATCTAAGACCCCTTCAAAAAAAGCAAATCTAAGACCAATGCATTGTTCGTTTATTTGTTAAGCAACTCCTTAATTTGTAAATTGCCATGTGATGATATTCGTTCAGTAGGGTCAGATTAGTTGTACCATTTTGTAATTTGTCCTGTAATGGACTGACCGACGTTTAAGTTTGTTGATTTATTTAAACAATTGAATTATAGCATCATTAACATATATAAAATTTCCATGTCAATTCTTCGTTAGGTAGGTCAGATTAGTTGTACCAATTGGTAATTTGTCCTGTTATATATTTATAAAAACTTTCATTAATATAGAACTTCTGGTCGGTTGGAGAGATAAGGATGATACACCGTTTAATTTTGGATTTTGGCCCCATTTATATATTTGTGTATACTAATTAATTTTTGAAAATGGTTGATTTTAGTCTTAAGATTTGATCCCAACTTCTTTAAACAAAATATATACACACGTTATTGAATAATGACATTTGAACTCAACTTAGGGCATATTTGATAAAGCCACTTTATGCTTCAAATTATTAGATTAAGTATTTTTCTTCATTTCAACATGTTTAATCACAAAAAATGAACCACTTAATGAATTAAGTGGCGTTAAAACTGCAGTACAAAATATAAGTAATAAAAGTTAGCTTATTACTTATTGCATAAGTACTTAATGAATTCAGTATTTCTGATTTAGTATTAAGCATTAAATTTTATATCACATTTTGGCTAATTACATCCCAAATAGCAAATTTCTGCTTTTTTTTGACCTGGTCGACCGGTGGCTCTTTTGATTTCTTTTTAATTATTTTTTTATCGGTCCCAATGTTTTGTTTTTTAATCTATGACACCTCATTTCCAATATAACATTACATACACTTTTTCCAATTTACTCTTATGGCTCTCCCTCTCTTTACTTTCCATAGGATACATGAATGTTAACTGCCCAATTTTTCATTTCCAATTCTTCATAGTGGTCACCATCAACTATGAAGATGACTTGTGAACATGACCTTCAACCTTAGAGAATATATGAAGGAATTGAACTCTGACGATGAATCCGAGATTTGGCTTTTCAGCAGATAGAATTTTTTGGTTTCATATGATCAAAGCTAGAATTTGAATTGTAATTTATGTTGTTCCAACCTAACCAAATTAGTCTTGTTTAACATTTGGACACAATGTTGAGGATATGTCTCTTGTGGTGACAATGTGAAAGGCATAATATAATAGTTCAAATATAAGGTCTTGTAACTTTACTCTCAGTGATTGTACCTCTTTGTTCGTGGTTTTTTAGCGCAAGGAATTAAAGGATTATCACTTTTGAAAACGTTAACAACGTATCTAATATATTACATTCTCTGTTCTCAAAAAATAGTATACTTTAACTTTTGAGATTTGTAATATTTTTAATACAGATTTGAAAGTTCAATATAAATTATCTTTATGGGACAGAGTAACATAAATTTTGTTGGAGTATGGAGGTCAAGATGTGCCCGTCTTCACTTCTATAGATTAATACGGTTTAAGTAGGACTCCAAATGAAAAAAAAAAAAAACCGGAATCTATACGATGATGAAATTCACTGAAGACGAAAAAACACATATTTAATTGTGGAACTGAAAGTAGACAAATGTGCATCTGTATTCAGTAAAGTCGTCTTACATTATGGGAAAAGAAGAACTTATACATTACATGAAAACTTCAATATGAAAGGTTATATATAGCTTGATAATTGAAATGGATTTAACTATTGCTGGTATCATGGCAACAGGAATGTGAGGCAAAGGATCCGGAATAGTTCTCGCATCTTCAACAATATGTCACTTCGTTATCTCATAAGAGGTATGAGGAAGCATTCAAGAGAAATGAGCTGTACATTACATAAAATGGGAAGAAAAAATTTGGGTTTCAGCTTAGATGAATATCTTTGAGAATAAATTGAAATTAAGATCATGTTCATGTGTAACTTTTGTTAATGTGTATCCTTCTTTCAGCTTAGATGAATATTTTTGAGAATAAATTGAAATTAAGATCATGTTCATGTGTAATTTCTGTTAATGTGTATCTTTCTTTCGAAATAGTATAACACGATGGATAATCATGTGATTTTTGAATAAAAAAAGGAGTAATAATTCATAGATTTGAACTGACGAATATACAACGTACGACGTACCTTCCACATTAACCTATAAAAAGTTCCCGTTGAGACCGTGTTTCTTAAATCTATGGAGTTGGCACGGTTCCAAACCAGCGAACCAAGAACCATGTGAGCACCGACCTGTACATTTGAACAGTTTTTATGAAATAACCAGCAAAAAAAATATATAATAGAGAAATGTCAATTGAAAGAGAGGGTCACCGTTATGAATCGGCTCCAGTTTTGGGAACATGTTAATCCGACTAAAATAGCAATAAGATAAGGGGTCTGAAACAGTGCCTTGCAGATATTAAACACCTGCAGAAATTAAAATAATTATTACAACACCGTTTAGGCATTAATTAAAGAGCAATTTTATATATTGTACTAATATTAACGAGATGGTATAAATTGAAATACTACTTATTTTTTTAACATGATTACAAAACTGACCTTCTCTCGTCCCACTTGGATTGCAAAGGATCGTACACCATGTTTCTTGTCTCCATCAATATCAGGAATATCCTAACAATATAAATCAAAGTTTAAAATCCGATTTTTTCTTTTTTATTTTCTTTATAAAAAATCTCCCACATCGATCATGATTTATTTTATCTTTTTTTTTGGAAGATAATAATAATAATTATAATAATAATAATAATCAGTAGTATCTAGAGGTTCCATTGCACTCCTGAGTCCTGTCAGTCTCAAGATATATTTTCATGTTTTTAATACTAAGAATATTTTAACTACTCCAACATATTGATCTTCTCAAAACTTCAATTATAACACTTTTCTTTGGGGAGAAAAAAGACAAATTTGAGTTTCTTAAAAAGAAAAGGGGACATTGTTCGTAGTACACATTTTCATGTGCCACATTCTAGAAACTAACACTGTTTTAACAATAAAAAATTAAAAGATCAAGTGTAAGTACCTTAACAAGTGCTAATCCAATTGAGAAGAAGCACATGAATGTTAACATAAAAAGTAAAGTCTTTGGAAAGATAGCTGGCCTTCTCAACACGAAAGTCTGCAACATGAAGCACCAATTAATTAAGGATACTCAAATATTTCCTCCGTCCCCAAATAATGGTGTCATTTAGATTTTTATATTCACTATAGCTGGATAATCATTTTGGGTTGGAGAAATTACTTTATCTATCCCAAAATTTTATCTAATTTGAATTTTCACTTTTAGTATAATTTGAATTGAAAATGAAGAATTTAAACTCGACAATCATTTTGGGACGAAAGGGGTATAGATTAATCCTCTACTGCTAATAGACATGAAATTGAGTTTTTCCTTAACCTGCATGTGCATATAATATGCTAATGGAGTAGGTGTTCGCAAAGAAAAGATACAGATTGCGGCTAGGAAGGCATGTTTCTTCCATCTCAGATATGGTACCTGCATTGGGTAATAGTTATTATACATACAAAGCATGAAAACATTATCCCTAAAAAAGAAGGAAAGAATTAAGAGAGAAGACACAAATTAAGTTGTGAACTATTAATGTAACGATTGGAGCATTTTGTATATTAACACTCACATCAAGTGAATAGACGGTTCCAACCACAAAAAGGTTTGTAAGAGCACACATTAAAGGCAAGGAGCCGACTTTCCATCCGATCAAAAAACTCTGCAAAGAGCAACCAAGTCATGTCTTATCTGATCAATAATTATTTAGTTTTGTGATTATAATCATTTTTTTCGGCGATAAAAAGAGAGAGACCATCAAGATTTGTATATACCGTGGTTGCACAAAATAAAGTAATAATCGAGCCAGTCGTATATGAGAAGTCCCCTGATGCCAACGGACGATAAGGCTTATTAACCTGAAATAATAATTTGGCAGTCAAAGTTAACCCTACAAAATAAATGTACTCGAAATTCGAACATGGAAAATCGCAAAATCAGAAAGTAAAGAATATCTCACAAACAAAAAAAAAGGAACTGTTAAGTGTGTTAGCATTCCTCTCTTCATATCTTAATCTGCTTTTTTAATTAGGCAGTGAAAAAATGTCACCTCTTTTTAATCATTCTTCTGTCCCAAAAAAAATAAAAAATATCTTATCAGATTTGAACGTGAGAAGAAAAAATAATAATGTTTATTTTTTGGCCCCCCGGGTACTGTCATCTATGTTAAAATTGCTGTTGCACCGATCAAATTAAATCTTAAAAGTGGATCTTGAAGATAATAATTTTGGTACGACTATATATACCTTGTCGATTTCTATGTCTGCCAATTGATTTATACCAACAACGTATATCTGCATTAGCAAGCAAGCAGCAATGGCCTGAAATTAAACAATTTCAATCCCTGGCAGTGACGGATTTAAGGGGGGTCAGGGTGGTCGATCGACCCCCCGGCTGGTCGGATTTGGCCAAATTTTTTTTTAGTAAGATGTATGTTATTTGAAATTTTTTCAGTTCGATCCTCCGGTGACGGTTGAATAATCCTATTTTCGACCCTGCGATTTGAAAATTCTCGTTCCGTCACTGATCCCTGGTGTTAATACAACATAATATAAGGTATCAACGAAGAAGGGCAAAGTTAAAGGACATATAAAGATTCTCAAAAACAAAACCTTAAACATCCCAATGAAAAATGACGGAGAAAAATCCGAAAGTTTCTCCACAGCAATAAGAGAAGCTGATGTGATGGTCAATACCTGCTCAAACAAGTACAGTATCAGGGAATTCATAAAAGCGGTCACAGTGTTAGATCACACCCTTCAATCTTAAATTACCCTCTATATATAAGATGCTCGTATATACAATATGATCAAGGGGAATTGAATATTTTAAATAAGGCACATAAATAATCGATAAGGATTATTGTCGTTTGTTACTCTTTCTATTAAAAAACAATAAAATTTACTATGTGTATTATTTTTATGGGACAGAGAGAGTAATAATATATATGTATGTTTTCTTAGATCAAATTTGAATGAAGATTGATAGCTTGGATCGTATTCTCGCCTCTTTCTATACTCACTATTTATTCTAAAATTTGTCATTTGTGAACTTCTCTAGCTGTTCCTATTAACAAATGCTTTTTCCCCTTCAATTTTCAAATAATAACATCAAGTAAAGCTGTTATGCAAATTAGTTACTCCATTGTTTCAAAAAAAAAAAATGGTTCAGATTGAGTTTTGAGATTTGTTAAAAAATAACACAAATATGAAAACTCGAAATGAACTACTCCCTCTGTCCCATAATTATTGTCCACTTTGCCTAAAAAATTTTGTCCCAAAATTATTGTCCAATTTGACTTTTTATGGATCAAGTTACACATTTGTCCTTAGTAAAAAACATTACCCATAAAATTTTAGTGGTTAAATAATTACTTATGTAAGGATATATCCGGTTGTTTAAGGTAAAATATAATTAAGTTTGACCAAAAATAAAATCTTTCATTTTATTAAAACTGGACAATGATTATGGGACGGAAGGAGTATAATTTTGGGAAAGGGGCAGGATTAATAACTATATAGAGGAAGCCATACGACATCTCTCTCTATATGTTTGTAGATTCAGTTTGAAATTTGAATTAATCTGGTTTCTTTTGATAATAAATTAACCTACCGTTGCAACGAGTCCGTGCAGGCATATAAACCGTTTAAAAGCATCTAAATTGTGCAGAAGGGAGGTCAATGGAGTGTTTGAAGCTTCTTCAGCTTCGAAAGGATACACATCATGAACATCAGCAGCTGGATTCACCATTATTTCGTCATTTTCACTTCCCCGAGATATTGCAGCAACGAGTCTTGTAGTTGAAGTAGTACTCATCAGAAGCTGCTGTTTTCTTGAGATCTGTATAGACTTTGGGAAGTGTTTGTGATCTGTATTGTTCCATCTTTTGCAGTCTAGAACCGGAGCTGCTCCTACATGTGAAATATCTCATTAAGAAGTTAATACCTGATTATTTGATATAAAGAATTAGTCTCATCCATAAGATCAATGCTAATAATTAATTTGGTTGTCCAATTGAGTGGAAGAAACAATCAAATTAATTTCTATCCCTAACTTAAAAGTATTTTGATGATATTAGATGAATGTGACTGTTGGGACTATTTGAGTGATTTGCATTTAATGGAATCTAATATTTGACCTGATCACGTTATTACTAGTATAATAATAATAATAAGAAGGCGACCAAACAAAATAGTGTGTACTTTATGACACATGAGCGTCCTTACCAAGAAGGCATTGGAAGAAAAACTGGACAGACAAAATGCCTGAGGAAATGCTGCTTCAGGCAATGTTTTAAGGATCGTGATTCTACTCAGGATCGAAATGGGGTCATAGGATCGGATCGTAAATAGGATCGGTAGGATCAAAAAAGTAGGATCGTAAATTTTAAAAAAAAATTTATACATTATAAACAATTACTAACAATAATTTTTAGATTTTTTTAAAGCTGTATAATGCATTCATTCTAATTTCTAACTAAAATACGGACGATAATTGTAATTTTGTATTTAATCAATAATATGGCAGACAATAGAATAAGTAATGTTTCAGTTACAAATTACTAGTACTTTAATAGGTTGTGTATGATTATTTTAGAGTGATTGAAAATTATGATTAAAATTAAGAAGAGAAAAATATCGTGGACCAAATACAAAACGTAAACTAAAGAAAGGCTTATGTCATCAATTGAGTCATTGACCAATTGATTATTCTTTTTCTCCCTCAAGGTCACTAGTCTGTTAGCAGACGAGTTCCGGCGAGAGAACAAAATAGAGTATATAAACTACGAGATCCTTTTCTCAATTCTATTGGAGTAATCCTCCTAAACAACTCTACAGAACTCAATTTCTTCAACGTTATCACTCTTTTCATCTTCTTTTTCAAGCTTTTTTTTCATGAATTGGAGTAAACCAAACCCAATAAATTTTTTGGAGGCTGAATCGGTGGACTTGAACGATCCTACGCGATTTTACGATCCTACTGCAAAAGACGAGTTTAATCGATTCAATATCAATTTAATGACCTAGGATCGTAGATCGCGAGTTTGTAAACACTGGCTTCAGGTGACTTCGCAATTGATGAAAACAGCTCCGGCCGACTCTTTAATTTTAACCCAAAAAAGGGAAAAACTTATTCTAGAATTATTTATTTATTTATTTATTTATTTTGACACTATCGCTAAAGATCATTGAAAAGAATCAAAACGCAGGAGCCTTTAGCTAGCTAGGGTTGTATCTCCAGTCCATTAAACCTAAAAAACTCTTTAGAATTTCCATCAAAATCAAAGCGAAATTTTGTCCACATATGCATGCCATCTAAAAACAATACTTTCATTTTGTGACTCAAGAATTAATGTCAACCATATGTGTGTTTTAAATTTTTCTAATGCATGCCTACGTTAGGGGTTAAAACTTAAAAAGGAACTAACTGAACCCCACAATGTTTTTATACACACAAGAAACATAATCTGCTGACGCTTCTCCAAGCTCCTTGATTCCTCCCTCCGTATTCCTTCTATTCGGAAGAGTTTGTTCACTGCTACAATCCATTGTTCATATTTTCTATTCTAATGAAGAATGCTGTTGTTGAGAATATTGAATATTGAGAATTGCCCAAGTTTACTTGTCCCACATTGGAAACGGTAAACTCTTGAAACCAATATATAACCACATGTGTTACTTCCTTTATCACCAATTGATTTTAAGGTGGAATCACATGTACCCCTATATTTGGACCTTCAAAATTGGTGAAGGAAAAGGTTAATAAAGATTGGAGAAAGGGAAAAAAAAAAAAGAGTTAAGTTGAATGTTTAAATTTTCATAATTATTGCTATCTAACTGATTTTCTATTCGTTATTCTTTTACAAAATTATATTAATTTCCGCGTCAAGATATAATTGTTTTGTTTGGATTTTCATTTTCAGTTTAAATTATATTTAATGAAATAAAAATTTTAATTGTACGATCATTTCAGGACAAATAGACTATGTTTTTATCATACGTGCAAAATGGTTTAGCTCTAACTAGTTAGATCATGATATAGGTTTCAACTTCCTTATAGAATATACAGCTGAGTAGGCAATGAATGAAGGCTGATCTAAAAATCTTGTTAATTTTGTTCATATTATATCCTCTTTCCTTCCCATACCAGTTCTTTTTTTCTTTTTCTTTTTTTTTTCTCTCCAATTAAATTTTCTTCTCTTATATGTAGCCGAAAGTCTCCGGTTTCATTCTGATCTTATGAACATTAAAATCTAAACGAAGACCGAACTCTAATTTGATCAAAGCATAATAATTTCCAAAGATTGTAACTATAGAAGAATCCATCTTTAAGAAACATCTGATAACTAGAAAACGAAAGGAAATAATCGAGAACCCAAAAGGCACAAAACGTAAGAATTCATTTGTAGGGCAAACTTACCTGAAGAAGAAGTAGTCGAACATATTCCACGTATCCCAGGAACTGATGGTATAAAGGAATCCTTCCTCAAGGAACCAACAAGCGAATACTCCATTAGTTAGATTCTTTTTTCTTTTCTTTTTTTTTTACAAAAGGAAATTGGCTGATAAAAGGAAATCCAGACGCCAAAGTCCAAAGGGGAAAAGAAACAAAGCAGTGCCAAACTCTCTCTGACTCTATACATTATAAAGAAAATGACTCCAAACACTGACTCCATACATTGGAGGAGTTCTTTTTAAATTTCTTTTCTTGGGAGGTTACTAAACGCCCTAAAAATTTCCCTTGAGCGCCCTAATTAAATACCAAATGACTATTTTGCCCTTACATGATTTTATTAATTAAGAGTTTCAATTTCATTCTTTCAATTCCTAAATCAATCTTTCATTTCAAATTCTCTCAATCCAAACTCCTAAAAACTTAGATTTAATGGCTGGTCGAATGAAACGGCTACGTAAAGAGCTACGGAAACTGAAGGTACGTAAATTTGGATTGTTTTTTTGAATTAGAATTATGTAGGAGTATTTATAAAAAATAAAAAAAAACCACCACCGTCACGGCTGGCGAGGGAGGACCGCGCCGGGGCGTGCAAAGCTGGCGCGCAGATCCGCGCCAGCTCTGTAAGGAGTGGCGCAGTATTTTCTTCGCCGCCGGACGCTGGGGTGGCGAAGAAAAGTCTCGCCAGGCGGCTTGCGCCTGGTGAGATTTACCGGCGCCGGCCGTTTTTTTTTTTTTTTGGTTAATTTGTTATATTATTTATTTAAATTTAATTGTTATTTATAAATTGTATAGTAATTGTAATTTAATTGTTACTATTAGTAATTGTAGGTCTTATGAAATTTAGTTCAATTATTTATTATTAGTTAAATTTATTAGTTATTTTTATTAGTTTAATTTATTTAGGAAACACTATTATTAAAAGTATATGTTTAATCTTCAGTAAATAAATTAGTTATAATACTTTTGTAGTTTTAAGAATTCAATTGTAGTTTTAGGGAGTTTAACGGTTTTTAAATTAAATTGGATCATTATGAAAGTTATTATAAATATAATTATAGAAAATATATTTATTGGATTAGTCGGTTTAATTGTAATTAGCCTCAATAAAATATCAAACGTAGAAATTAAATACTTAGTATAGGAAAATAAAATAAATAAGTTCAAATTAAAAAAATACAGGAGGTTAGTAGATAATTAAGGTTAATAAAAAATATTTATTTAATTGTGGTTAAAATTAAATAATAAATTATATATTTATTTAATTTTGGTTAAAAAATGAAAAAATAAATATGTAAATATTATTAATTGTACTTAGTAGATTTAATAAATTGTATACTTAAGATGTATAGTAGATAATTTTATAATTACGTATTTAAATAATATAAAACTGTATTAAACTAATTAATATAAGTTACGTGTAAAATTTGAGACTTTTGTCGGATGGGATATCGCCTTTTGAGGGATCTGGATATTGACATGCAGTTACGCGCAATCTGTATGCCGAACATCGAGCAGAAAAAGAAAAAAAAGTTAAAGAAAGTGAAAAATGTACATCCTACGTTTGGCCCACTTGGTGAGTCAGCCAACGTAGACGATGATGATGATGATGATGATTTTGAGGGAGAGGAATCAGCAGAGGATAGTTTTGAGAGTGGGAGGGGGGGGACGATGTGGATGAGGAGGATGACACATCCGAGTATTCCTCGCATGAGAGAGGGGATATACATATTGGAAATAACTCAGTACTGAACCCCATTGGTCGTACTGTTGATCAGACTCTAGTTCACCCTACCCGGGGGGAGGAGGGGAGGGGAGGGAAGTCCCTTGTTGGATTATCAGCCCTGAATTCAGCTTACACTCCTGGTGGTTCTAGTGTTCGTGTCGGCCCACAGAGTACTCTTTTTAGAGGTCATAGTACTACTCTTCAGCATGCAGGCCCGCAGAGTACTGTTTTTAGAGGTCCCCCTCTGACTACTCAGCCTCGTTCCTGTTTTGGTGGCGTATCCATTGGTGCCTCTATCCGTCCTGAGGCAGCTGCATCGTCATCAGGTACGTATTTGTAACAATTTCAGCATTCATTACTGCTTGGTCAATTTCTTAATTGCATTCGATTAAGTATTTATACACTATTCTTTATTCGGGTTTTAGGTACTAGCAGATGGTCTAAGGTTTCTACCGAAGAAACTGATGATTGGATTGGTGACAGACGACGTACCTGGCGGGCCATGTGATGGGTCAGTTATTCCTAGTTTTTTTGGCCACATTGCTTATCAGTTGTGGAATGGAGAACCAAGAGATTACCTGACGATGAAGCCAGCGAAGAAGAGTTTGTCTAGATTGCATGGATGGTATGCGAGGTTGCCGGAGAACGCACAGTTACAGATTCAGAATACTGGTTTGTATCATCTGATTGATACCATGTATGATGATATTGGCCTTGCGCTTATTTCTACATTCATAGAGAGGTGGCAGCCCGACACAAACTCGAATGGGAGCCATTTGGTCGCGAACAGGCAGCAGCATATCCGAGGACCATCTTTAGTGGGTGGATTATGTACCACGACTTCCAGGAGCCATACATGCCGGAGAGAGTGCTACGCCAGCTCGGTTATGTGCAGTACATACCTCGTGCGCCATACCTAAATTAATCAAGTTCTGACCAGAGAATATTAGATTTTCTTTATACAACATTACAAGCACCTAAGATTTTATATGAGCAAAGTCCATAAAAGAGCAGAATATGTATACATATATAGAAGTTCATGAAGTTCTGATTCAAAACTAATTAATAATGGAGGGATTAATCCGGAAAATTTATATAGTGATAACACTAGTATTTCAATGTCAATGTAATTGACAATAAAAAGAGTAACTCATGAAATCTATTAAGAAAACTCCATACATGCACGTCTCTTTCGCTGGTCCGGTGCTTGAGAGGGCTCCAGGAAGCAAAAATGCATACTCTCTCCATTTCAAAATGTAGGTCGTTTTAGGTTTGGAGAAATATTTCAAAATATAGGTCGTTTTAGGATTTCAAGATAAATTAAAGAATAACTTCTCAACTTTGCCCCTAATAAATGATGCTAACCACTTTTCATCTAGTTTTGGTTATAGTTTCAAAATAATTAATGAAGGGCAAAATAAACATTTAACACACAAATCAATTATTAAATGATTGTCTCCTTAATTTACGTATAGAGCCTAAAAAGACTTACATTTTGAAAGGGAGTAATTAGCACATAATGTGCTGCAATCGGGTATGGAACTCTGGTCACCTCGGTTAATTCCAAAACTCTTAGCTATTAAGCTCTTCTCCCCTTGATAAGAGATTAAAATGTACACTTAAAATGTTTTCAAATTTCTTTTAATTTTTAAATACTATCTCATTTTCAAATTATATAGGTCCACTTTGAATGGTACAAATATTGACATTTATTTATTTATAAATACAAAATTTCTATTTTACCCCATTTATTAGACCAACCACTTAATAAATTGTAATTTATGAAAAAAATTTAAATTTATTATGCAAGAAAATCAAATGGACTTATAATTATTTAACATAATTTGAAGTAGTAAATGAGTTTATGTTTTGAAAAGGAGATAGTACAAGTCAAAACATTTTTAGTAATTTATAATTATACTAATGATGTCTGATCGCGCAATGCGCGACCCTGGCCCAATATATTTATAGATCTTAGAAATGTTTGTTCCTAGAAAAAAAAATTATATTTGGCCCGATATATTTTAGAAATATTTAAAAAATTTAGAAATATTTTATAAGTGTGATCATAGAATTGTTTGTATTTAGCATAAAAAGAAATTGTATTTGGCCCGATACATTTTAGAAATATTTGAAGATTTTAGAAATATTTTATAAGTGTTACTTCTTAAATATAAATAAACTTGATCAAATATATGTCTTGAAGTAAATGTTAGACAAAATATAAAAGCATCCTAATAAGTTTAAATATTAGTAAGATAATTTGTTGATGTTCTCCATTGGTTGTGCCAAATCAATACTTAGTTTTGGAGATTTATAATAGCTTTGTATTAAGCTTCCTCCAAAGGGTATACACTTAATTGTTAAAACTATTTCTTCCAAAAGTTTATAGGTAGTAAAATATCAAAAATATGATTTTGAAACTGGTTAATTATTGAAACTGGTTGATCACAAATATGAGAATGAAAATAATGTAAATTTGCATTGGTTTCAAGTTATAGCAAAAAAGAACTCATCTCACCATGGCAAATAAAAAAAAAGAGTAAAAGATAGCCCATTAAATATTTTGAAAATTTTTTTTTTTTAGGTAAAAATGATGTATAAAAACACAAATAAACATAGAAACATCATTTCTTCCCTCTCCACCTCAAATTCATAAAAGGTTTCCCTATAAATTAGTTAGAAGAACCGATCTGAACTAATTTGATGAGGAACTAAAAAAAATCCAAAAACCAAATCTAAAAAAGTATATTCTTGAAGCCCGAACACAAAAAAGAAAAAAAAACGCGCTTCATTTGTAAATAAAATAAAATAATAATAATAATAATTGGTCAACCAGGAGTATGAAACAAAATCAAAAGTAATTAAACAAAGAAAAAACACACTTCATAACTGACCATATACGAAAAAAGAACTGAGACTCCACAATTAAAAAAATAAAACCACTCTAATTGAATGAACATAAAAAAGAAATTTAAAAAACCACACTTTGTAACAAAAACCCAATTAATCAATTCAATCCAAACAGAACTAAAATCATACTAAAATTCTAAGCTAACTAACCATATAAGAAATCACATCACATTACCTAACAACGGCTACGATACTTGTAACAGATGAACGCATAAAAATAATAGTAATAACACTATTCTTGAACGGAAAAAAAAATAAAAATAAAAATAAAAGCCAAACAAATGATCTGTGGAAATAAAATCATTTAAAGTTTAATACCTGTAATTGGACCACTATAACGGCGGAAGTAAGATCAATGAGAATTTTTTTTCCTTTGTGTTTATATAGAGAGGTAAAGAGAATATTTTTGAAGTCAAAATTTTATCCGATTAGAATGTAGTTGATTATCATAAATGAAAATATTGAACATGCTAATAGGAAAGGAGTATATTTCACCACATATTCTCGATTGATGATTGATGAGGAATTTGTTTTTTTTTTATTGTGGAGAACTGATTGATTA